ATGCCAAAGTCAAAAGTCATTGGGCTTGAGGCTAAGAAGGCTAAAGTCAACATAAAGGTAATTCAGGCAATTACAAGACGCTCTTAAGATTAACCTTCCCTATAGAATCCTCTTGCTTTTGACTAGAATCTTCACAAAGCTTCATTTTTTTTGTGCTCAGAAACCTTCTGGCTTCTCGAGCATGGTGGAGCTGGCCTTTCGTGCTCGTTTATCCATTAACTACCCTGAGTGGTCTATCGGCTTCTTTTGTGGCCCCTTCTGATGGTCTTCGTTTCTTTTCCTTCCTATTTCTCGTTTTCTTGTTTGTTTTGTTCAGATCTGGTGGCCAACAAGACAATAAAGAAGAAAATAGGGATTGGTCATTGCTTGCTTTGATCTTCTAGCCACAACATCCTAGAGAGCGAGCTTATCTATTTCAAGAGTAGATTGAAGGGTGTCCAGCTTTCTGGAACATTCAACCGAAGGAATTTGTAAAAATTAGTTTCCTTAGAGGTTGTTCATGTGATTTGTTTATCGTCCTTCTCTATATCTCTCTCTTATTGAACTTGATCTACTCTTATTTTTTTGTCTCCAATTGTTCTTTCTTTATTTCATTATTAGTTTTTAACAATGAAATAAGAGTTTCTTATATAGATTTCGTATGGCTTTGATTTCATTATATGATTTCAATTGAGTTCAAAAAAACCTTCCCTATTGAAACAAAACCACGCCACATGGAGGCTAATGAAGGACCAAGCCAGTTCAACAAGAGAAAACATACAAATAAAGACATGAACTTTCAAACTTTTAATAATCAAGAATATGAACTTTTCTGCTTACTAACGAAGGTGGTAAACTTTTAAAAGTCAATAATCAAAAATATCAGATATAAAATTTTACTAGACAAAGATTTATTATATTTTACCATGATTAAATCCTTGTCTAGTAAAAATGCATAGTTGACTTCCTTGATTAGTAACTTTAAAAGTTTATAGATTTTATAAATAAGTAAGAAAGTATGTATCATTAATTAGTAAAAGTTTAAAAGTTTGTATCCTTGTTAGTAGAGCATAAAACCATGGGAGGGAGACATTTATGTTTTTATTGGTTACATGTCATTTTGAGTTTTTAAACTTTTAAATGTGAACTTTTTTAGTTTTTAAACTTTTTTTATATTTTTTATCCCTAAACTATAAAAATTATACTTTTTTTAATCTTTTCATCAATTAGTTCATTAAATCTATTCATATATACCAATGCTATCAATATCGTACTAGCATGTGTATCCGTTTTGTTACTGAAACGATACATATCAAATATAAAAAAAAATTTTGTGTACCAATTCGGATTTACCATTATAAATAAATTTTTTTTATAAATTAAATATATAACTATGAAATGATATTTAATGAGTATAAGAAAATTTAATACTTAAAAAAACTAATTTTTTAGAAATTAAAAATATATTCAAAGTGACAAAATTCATGAAATATTAATATCATAATATTAAAGAAAAATAATGTATCAACATAATCTGCATTTATTTTTAAAGATTCATATATCTATTTGAATTTATCTTAGCACAACTAGAAAAATTAAACATTTATTTAGATTTAGAATATATTCTTTCAAGTTTAAATCAAACTTAATAGTCATCTAACCTATTTGGTCAAAAATAATAATAATTTGAGATCTCAGTCATAATTTATGTATATGTATTAGAAAAATAGAGATATTTTGTTGATAAAAATATAAGTTCATCGATAATTATATTTTTCTAAAATATAAACATGTTTTTACAATATTGTTTGATAAATGATATGTTATTTTTTTTAAAAAAAAATTAAATAGAGAAAAAAAAATCATACTGGTAACATTTTGGTGTACCAATTGGTATACCAAAATATCGATCAATGCACTAAATATAATTGAAATGACCGATATTTGACTAAAATGAAATTTAAGCTTGTATCAATTTAGATATAGCCTAAAACCAATACAAAGCAATATTGATAACCTTGATATATACGCATTTTTAGTCCAAATGCACATAAATGAACAAACTTAACGAACTAAACTGATGAAATGGCAAAAAAGAGTGTATTGTTTATAGTTCAAGGGCACACAAAGTGAGAACAATAGTTCAAGAATTAAAAAGGTTCAAAATCGAAAGTTTAGGGACTTACATTTAACATTTTTTTTTTTTTGAGAAAAATGATCATATATCTTCTATTTAGTTAAAGAGATAAACGGATACAAAATAATTTTATCTCACTTGTTAAAGGCACTTAGCAATCTATAATTCTTATATGCCACAACAATTATGTACTTTAAAATACAAAACAACTTCAAAAATAGAACAAACTAGAAAAGATAGCTAAGCAAATATATATGCATATATAGTTATCTCTTGCCTTTCAAGCGTTAGTTATATTGTTACTCGACACTATAACAACTTATAGCTAAATAATAAACCTTAACCTAAAATTATCACACCCCAAGCATCCGTTGCAAATAGATTCATGATCGATTGATAACTGTCCAAAACTAAGGAGATTGAGGAACCCCCTAACACCCCAATGTTAACAAGGTTGAAATAAAAACTTACTATGTTACTCATTGAATTTAGAGGTGGTAGCAAGATTTCATCCACTACATCACAAAACGAAACAAATTCCTACCCATTACCTATTTTCAAAAAAAAAAAAAAAAGAAACAAATTCCTACCATGAAAGAAATGGCATTGTACTAAGGACGATGTAAAACCCCACTCACAAAAGTATAAAACCGTACCATAAGGCAGCACAAACCCCCACTACTAGAGGGACAAAACCACATCAAAAGACAGCACAAACCCTCTAACCTCTCTTTTCTTTTCTTCTTTTTTTTTTTTTTTCGGTACAATGAAGATATTTATATTTGATTTGATTAAAAAAAGTATGGAATTCAATTGTAAACTTTTAATTAATGAAATTAGTTTCGACTAAAAAAAATAAAGTGCAAACTTTTAAATGAGTAAAGTGTTTAGAATATTAAAATACATCTTCAATTAAAACTTTTTTACTCATTCACAAATATTTAACTCAAGTATATTTTTATTCCAAACATTAGACCTCCTAAAATTCATTTTATAATTCTATGAACCACTTTAAACATAATAATTCATTTGTAAATGAATTTCTAATTCTCTAAAAAAATTATTTTGAATAGAAAATAAATCAAAAAAATATTGTAAAACTTAAAGTCTTAAACCATTATTTTACAACCTGAAAAATACAAAATATGAAACTCAAAAAAAATGTTACTTTTATTTTAAAAAAGGAAAAAAGTCTCATATATTTTTCGTTTAGCTGCGAATAATCTATTAATTCCACCGCTTTAAGAAGATAGGGGGCATGACTCGGGATTAATTATTCCATTTTTTTCCTTCTACTTCTCTTTTTAATATAAAAAGTAGGGTATAAATATGGTAAATAAATTGTAGGTTATATCCCCGATTCAGTCCCTCAACTTTCATTTTTGAACTAAAACTACCCTCAAACTTCAAAAAGTACTAAAAAAATCCTTGAACTTCAATTTTCGAGACCAATTTCGTCCTTCCGTCGACAGAAGTGCCAGATGGCACGTTAAGTTGCCACGAAATCAATTTTTGTTTGAAATCTTTAATTATGTGGAAAATAACTTAGTTCACATCATTTTAATTAATTTATATATTAAAAAATTTAAAATTCCTTAAATACCCCCATCTTCATCTTCCATCACCTCTCATCTCTCTCTATCCTCAAATGTCTTCTCATCTTGCAACCCAATCAACACCGATCATCCCTCATTACTCTGGTCATCCCTCATTGCTCCGATCATCTATTACCACTCCAATCACCATCTACTTCTTCCCCAAACCTCTTCTCTAATAGAACTCAAATCTGGTTCCTCGCACAATAATAATAATGACCAATAGATCTGATTCAAAAAATCAATTCCTCTACAAATGTATATCAGATCTGTAAAAAAAACACAACATTCCTTCAATCAACATCGACAGTAACTAGATCTAGAAATTCAAGCAATCAGAAGCAACACAAAACTCTAAATCCCATTCAAGCATGATTGCAAGCCATGAAAGAAACACAACAAAAAAACCCAGGCGGGTTCGACTCAAACCCAGGTGCTAGGTTCGGAACCCAAGCGTCCTGGGTTCGAGGAACCTGCGCTTGGGTTCGAGGAACCCAGGCGCTGGTGCTGGGTTCCTTCGAACCCAGTAGGGAGGGGAAGGAGAAAAAAAGAAAAGGAAAGAAAAAAAAGAAAGAAAAGAAATTTTTATTTATTAAATTATATTTTTGTGCCAAATCACAATAGTTTTATAATTAAAAATGCCACATCACTCATTTTATTTTCAGGTAATATTTAATATTAATAAAAATTGAATTTGTTAACCGAAAATTTTGCCACGTCAGCAATTAACTGACGGAAGGACAAAATTGGTCCCAAAAATTGAAGTATAAAGATTTTTTTAGTACTTTTTTAAGTTTGAGGGTAGTTTTAATCCATAAATATTTCGACTAAATCATAATAAAAATTGAAAAATTTTTTGAAAGGTATCCATTATATACGAGAGGAGAACTCACAACCTCAAAATTATGGGCCTCTCTAATATACCATAGTCACCAAATTATTCCATTGTTTTTCAAAAAAGAAGATAAATTATTCCGATATACGATAATCTCGAAATTATTCCAATCTCTTAAATTAAGCTCATCCACGTCACCGCTAAGATACTCTTATCTGCCACGTGGAACTGCCAACTTCGAACCTTCAGATTCTCTTCCGTAACAGACGAATAACGCCACCCTTTCCCCTCGATTTTAACCGCAGTGAAAAATTAACAGTAAATTTACTCTAACCTCTCGATTTCAACTCAACTATGGTTAATCCTAACCCAACCATGGTTAATGCTAACCCTTCCCTCTCACCTGAGCACCGCAGTTTATAAACAGCCGAACGTGGCGGTAATTTTACATACCGTCCCAAACCCGACACCAACCAGGATGATGCTCGGCGAACACCACCGTCCAAATCCGACGGTTCACGTGCCTACTTGGCCGTCTCTTGATGAGCTGACGGCTGAGGTTTACTCTCCTGTCAAATACAATGCCGCCGACAATAACAGTCCGTTTTACCTACCAGAAGCCTTGGCTGCGCTTCAGCGCTACTTGCCGTCGAACGACCGGGATGTTGATTCTGATTCCGAGTTTTCCGGGATGGAGAACCCGGATTCTCCGGTGGATGCGTACTCCTGTGATCATTTCAGGATGTACGAGTTTAAGATTCGGAAGTGTGCCCGCGGGAGGTCTCATGACTGGACGGAATGTCCGTACGCCCATCCAGGGGAGAAGGCCCGGCGGCGGGATCCGAGGAAGTACCACTATTCCGGGACGGCATGCCCTGACTTCCGGAAGGGAAACTGCAGGAAGGGTGACTCCTGCGAGTTCGCACATGGCGTTTTTGAGTGCTGGCTTCATCCTGCGCGGTATAGGACCCAGCCATGCAAGGATGGACCCGGTTGCAGGCGTCGGGTCTGTTTCTTCGCCCACTCGCCAGACCAGCTGAGAATAGTTAACTCGGCAGATTCTTATGATGGTTCACCTTCCAGCACTAAAACCCTTCCGTTCTGGTCTTCTCCGGGGTCGGTTTCCCCACCCCTGAGTCCTCGCGGGGATTCATCACCGCCTATGTCCCCTATAACGCAGTCACTAAGCCGGCCCCTTGGTGCGACTTCAATTAACGACGTCGTAGCTTCGTTGAGGAGCTTACAGTTGAGTAAGGTAAACTCCATGCCTTCTTCCTGGACCACGCATGTTGGTTCCTCTTCTCCCCCCGTTTTCGGCTCTCCTAGAGGAGCCGTAATACGACCCGGCTTTTGCAGCCTCCCAACCACCCCCACCACCACCAAGAATCCTTCCCGTCCCGGTATCGGGTTCCCGGACTTCTGGGACAAGAACTGGGAGGAGGAACCTGTGATGGAGAGGGTGGAATCGGGGAGAGACCTGCGTGTGAAAATGTTTGAAAAACTCAGCAAGGAGAATTCTTTGAATCGGGTTGATGAGGGTCAGTCTTCCGGACCTCCAGATGTTGATTGGGTTTCGGACCTAGTACAGTAAACCATGTTTGGGATTATGCAAGTACGAGATTATTTTCCGATTATTTCCTTCACTGTGAATAGTATCCGCTAAGCAAGGAGCGAATTCTGGATAATGGAAGTGAAGATTCTGTACAAATTTAATTAATATTTGAAAAGTATTAAGTTATGGGGGTGAAGGGGAAAGAAAAGAGTAGAATCTCTTTTTTGGAGAATTTTCCGAGAGTTCAGAAACACAGAACTGAGAAAATGGAAAAAGCAAAGCTCTGGTGTAGGTAGGAGATATAAGGGATTGTTCCCTTTCTTATTTTAATGGTCGATTTTCGTACTTATTAATTATAATCTGTTCTTCATTGAGCTAAATTATTGTTTAAAAAAAAAACTCAGAGCTTTATTATATTTTGAGCAAAACTTGGAGCTTTCTTCGCTATGTTCCTACAAATCAATGCATTGAATATTTCTATATAGATCAATTGATTTTTTCATGTTTTAAGCACTTCTATAAGAATTAAAAATATTTTCAATTTTAGATGTGTTAAAGGAAGATGATGCTTTTGTGGTTTAAAGAGGGTGTCTTGCTTAAAACAACATTTAAAAGTAAATTTTATCTTCTTTTTTTTTCTTAATAAAATGTTATTAAATTTATTAAAAAAATTTATATTTTAAGTAAGCACCTTTTTAAGCTTTCCCAATCACACTCAAAATTGAGGAAATTGTGCTTAGTTTTGTGTCCTTGCTCAGCTTGCACACATTTAAGGGTAGGGTTATATAGACCATACAAAATATTAAGGTTATTAATTTTTTATAATAGTGTTTAAAAATATTAATTTGTATCAATAGTTTAAATAATTTAATAATAATATCGTTTTATCAAAATAAGAAATTTTAAATTAGAGCAGCATACATGCGAATGAATGAGATA